AAAAAAAAACCTCTCCACTTGTTTTCTTCCCCCTCTTTCTTTCTTTTTCTTCTTCCTCCTCTGTTGATCGAACCCTGCCAAGCTAGCTAGGATCCTCCCCCCCTCTTTCTCTTCTTACCCCTCTTACTTTCTCTTTCTTCCTCCTCCTGTTGCGACCCATCAAACCTTCTTCGCCCTCTTTCTTTCTTCCTCCTCCGACTACTGGGTTCATTTGAACCCAGAACGCTGGGTTCGTTTAAACCCCGCAACCTGCGTTCCATTGAACCCAAATCTAGGTTCTGCGAAACCCAACGATCTGGGTTCATTTGAACCCAGATTTGGGTTTTGTGGAACCCAAACTGGGTTTGTTTAACCCAGATCCGAGTTCGTAGAACTCGGATCTGGGTTCAACGGAACCTAGTAACAAACCCAATTCTGGGTTCCATGGAACTCAGCAACATGAGTTCAAGGAAGCTGAATTTTTGGGTTTTCAAACCCATGTTTATAGATTTTTTTTTGTTTAATAACTCTAGCAATTTCTATGCATATATTGAACCCTTTTGTTTGATGGATTTTTGTTTCAAATATTGTGATTGTGGGATGGTAATTTAGTATTATGAATGCTGTAAAATTTTGTTTGTATATTTTGATTTGACTATTTCTCTTGTGAGTATATGATCATTAAGCTGGATTGAATTAGTATAAATTTTTAAGGTTTTGATTTTATTTTGAGAAAGCAAGAGGGGAAGAAGAGAGAGGGGAGAGAAGGTTTGGTAGTTCCTAACTTTGCTGGGTTCGGTCAGCAAAGGAGGTAGCAACAAGAGGAGGAAGAAAGAGAAAGAGAGAGGAGGAAGAAGATAGGTCGAAGAGGTTTTCTTATTTTTTTTTATTAAAAATATAAAAATTTATTTTCATGTCATCATTTTTTTTTAGTTGGACGATCCATGTCATCTTTTTTTTAGTTGGATTATCCATATCATCAAAAAAATATAAAAAATGCCACATGGGCGGAGTTAATGACTCAAATTGACGGGAGGACTAACGTTGTGCATTTCTTAAAGTTAAGGGATTAAAAAAATATAAAAAATTATTGAGGGACCAAAAATGTGCAATTCATAAAGTTAAGGGACCAAAATTAACATTTAACACTTTTTTTTTGTTGTTAATTATTGCTATTATATTCATAATAATTGCAATATTCAACTGTCCCAGATTTGACACTGTTCTACGTCAAAGTAAACGAACACTAATCGTGTGATCCCCTTTAATATTATCCCAGGAATAAACCCTCTAATTGGAGATCTGAAAAATCAAAAAAAAAAAAAAAAAAAA